CATGAAAACGCAAACAGGTCTACTCATGTATATGACTGAGTGAATTTGTTTTACACAACTCTTATGAATCCCAAATCGTACCTAAATATCTGTTTGCCTTTCCCTTATATCTTTTATAATGTGGTTTCTTTCCGCATTATAAAAAACGAGTGAATGTTTTCTGTGGTGAATCACTTTGTGAATGTGGATATGTAAAAGGTTTTCGCCAATACACTTATATTATGATGGACAGTCTGTAAAACGGCTCACATTTGGAAACTTAATTCAATTATATTATTGTAGTTGTCTCCATCTCTCTATGTTGCTCTCTTTAATACGCCGAATGAAAAGAGTTATTTCAAGTGACTCATGTTATTCTTTGATTATGCGCTTACTCATGTTAACCAACTCGGATAGGGAAGGCACGATCTGCTTTTGCCAACGTGCGTCACTTACGGCGCAGGCGAGATATCCGCTCGTTAAGTAGAGGACGAGTGTACCGTGCAGCGTTTCAGTCTGTCCTACTTTACGGATGCGAAACATGGCCGTTAAGAGTAGAGGACATTCGTAGGTTACTAGTCTTCGATCAAAGGTGCCTCCAAAAACGTTGCTCGTGTATCCTGGGACGACCGAGTAAGCAATGCTATCGTTAAGAAACGGGTTCTAGGTAAGGATGGCAGATCAATAGATGGAGCATTGAAACTTCATGAGTTGAGGTGGTTGGGACATGTGTTACGAATGCCTAACCACCGACTGCCTCGACGAGCTATATTTTGCAGTGTAGGAGTAGGTTGGAAGAAAGTTAGGGGCGGTCAGACCGGAACATGGCAGGAATCCATGAAGTCACTGTAGGCTATCTTGTTGGGGTGCGCGATATGAAAGTCACCAATGGTTAGAGACCTTGAACGACATGGCTCAGAATCGTTTGCAATGGTGCAGGTGCATCCACTCTTTGTGTTCCATGAAATTCTGACCTTCTGAATTCCTCATAATCTCTATCTCTCGTCTTCTAAATTTGTTTCACTGAATAGTGCTTTTCGAATCATATCTTTGCACCCTAATCTTCTCCATTGCTGCTAATAATTCTACTATCACTGTCACTCTTGGATTTGACCTGACAGTTACGTCTCCGTACTGATTTGTATGGCAACCTGAACTGATGTACTTATGTACGCGGTTCTGCGTTGTATCTGTCTGTCTGCCTGTCTTCAGTAGTGAATAATTAAATGTTTGTCTAATTCACAGAGTTCATACAATAATATGAGTCAAGTTTAAAATGTGCACGCTAACTAACCTAAGTTTCATTTAGGAAATATATTTTTACATTGAAGTAATATTAAAACATAAGCCATTGAAATATGTGTAATAACAAAGTGTAAAATGATTTTTCTCAGGTAAGTGACCTAGGTTTATGAGAATTTCACTGCTTCTCAACTTATATATATGTACATACAATACCTGTATCACGATATTGAACACCACTTCCAACGATTGAATATCGTACTATGACTTCACGACCAGTCGTATCAGCAGGAAATGGACCAATTGTCCATTCTACTTCTAATTCACCGTCATTGTAAACACGTACAATCAAAGATGCCCATGAGGAATATTCCAAATGAGCTTCATCAACTAACAATCCATGTACTATCTTTAATTTGAGAAATAATTTGAACAAAATAAAGAAATAAAAATATTTTAAATTTCCAACTGTTTTGTTTAGATTTTATCTTTGACACTGTAATAATTGACATCAAATCATGTTAATTTATATCATTATCAAATTACAAATTGTACGATGCACGAATATCATTACATTTTCAATAAACTACCATCAACTATGAATTCAAAATAATAATAATCTGTTTTTATCTCTCCTCGGTACTTTCACAAACGTTTTTTATTTGTTTGATCGTTCTTACAACTAGAGACTTTAAGAAATAAAGTGAATTGTCTTCATTAACCTACATTAGCGCAGGTGTGCAGTTAGTGTTCTGATATTAAAAAAAGTCTGAGTAAACATACATTTGTTTTATCCATAAAGGTATGTGCAAAGCCGTTGTTTGGATTTGAACAAGAATATTTTCTGTTCGGCTCCTCGTCCCTTTTTCTTTGTTCCCTTTTTTTCAGAACCTTATTCTAATCCTCATATATTACTCTGTATATTTGCAGTAGACTTGGTTACCCAACCCAGGAACATGTGAAATCATTAGCTGATGAATATCAACCAGACCTGTGTACATTCATTCTTGTTATGTGCAAACCTGTCTCTACCATGAATCTTTTCGAAGTCGAAAAGATGATAGTCGTAACGCAACCTTCGTAACTCGCGCCAATTATTTGCATTGTACATTCCATCTATCGGAATCCAATGGATCTCTGGAAATGTTTGCGTAACTGTATACCGTTTTAAAAGAAACATGTTGCTAATCTTAACATTTTGATCTTGCCTGTAAATTGGCATGTCTCTTGTACCATGTTTGTTATTTGAGAATAAATTATTAATTATTATTATTATTGTTATTATTATTATTATTAATATCATAGTGATTTGAAACTGGATCCAGTAAAGTTTATATTAGTCTAGTGAATTTCATACAAATATTAATGATCATATTATAAAATGTCCACGTGGAAAAATGCATTATCTGCAAGCACTGGACAACGGGGCAGACAACATCACAGAAGTTTAATACGGCCTTTATTCGGGATACCGTAACACTCAACGAATTCAAGATAGCCCTCACCAATAGGTTCCAGGCCTTTCAGGATCTACTCAATGGAGAGGACGCAAGATTGGAGTAGAATTGCAAAGGGATTAAGGAGGCAATCACTTCAACATGTCAGGATGTCCTTGGTCGCAAGAAGCACTATCACAAGGAATGGATCTCTGTTGGTACTCTTGAAAAAATTGAAGAAGGGAGGAACAAGAAGGCAACAGTGAATGTCAGCCGAACAAGAGCGGAGAAAGTTAAGGCACAAGCTGCATACGCAGAAGCAAACAGGGAAGTGAAGAAGAGCATCACAGCTGACAAACGAAAATATGTGGAAGATCTAGCAATGACGGCGGAAAAGGCTGCAAGAGAAGGAAACTTGAGACAATTGTACGACAGATACTTTCTTCAGAGAGACGATAATGTGTAGAATAAAAGTCATCAATGATAAACTATGTATAAAGCTTGTTTTGATTTCAACTGGTCAAGACGCGTATCTAAACTACTTGAACAGTTATTCCTCGGTCCAAAACTCACTTCGGATCCAACATCAGTGATCTTCTTCCTGCCTTCAAGTACCATGTCCCGATGTATGACCAGTGTTTGATTTTTTTAAAATAGTTCTACGACATGTCGACATTGTGAAATTAATTGATCAGATACACAAGGCGAAATCGTTTCTTGATAAATTTACTTCTACTGATTAAGTTTACTATAATTGATTCAGTGACAAAATATAGTAATGTAGGTCAGATTAATTAGATTTTAGCGTAAATGCATTCAAACAGCTCTATAGGCAGTTAAACTGATAAGAGATTGATAATATTATAGGCAGGCACTAAGATTTGATATTACACAAGGAGAAATCAGTTCTTGTTATATGTTTTGTATCTGGAGCTGACACTAATTCTATGGATAGATATGTTGTTGATATAGTGATATTGCTAATATAATCATTATTTTCTAAGAAATGATATTACCGTAAACGGGTTGTGTTACTTTTTATTCGTTGACAAATGTCACCTGAATGTAACAATGAACTGGTTTAATATCATGTTAGTTCAGATGCGTCACATATAAAAAGGCTAGATGAAAATATAATTGTAGGACAATTGTAAGAAAAAGATGTATATTTTCATCTATGCGCGTTAATTATTGACAGTTTCTCTCTAGCTACGTCATTATCAATCGACGATGGTTAACATTATTGTGAATATGAATGATGTATTTCAATGAACTTGATGTACAATAAGAGGTGTCAAATGTTGACTTAAATAATCAGCTTCACCATTATGGAATTTTTCGGATAAACAAGCATGAAAATCGATAACTTACGTTACCACGAACTGACGTAAACTCTTTCGCATGTGATTCACGTTTCGGTAAGAATACATATGCACCAGATGGTTGCGGTCTCTCTGTTTCACCTTCATAGTACAATAGTTCAATTTTCAAATTTATCTCAATACCACTTTTAACATGCTTCATTATAATTTGTGTAAAATTACCAACTTGATCATAGTATAGTTTGAAATTCATAGTTTGCGTATGAACAGTAGGATTTTGTTTCGTCGAAGATGTTGATACTGATGGTGAGGACGTACGATTGATTGTAAAATGAAATATATTTAAGCCAACTGGTGATACGTTTTTCGCATTGAATAATACTTCATAATTTGCTCGATGTTGAGAAGACATTCGTTCAGGTATTTGAAGTGTTCTTTGACTGATGAAATTCAGTTGATATGGTAATGATTGATGTGATTTCGAACTGTTGCGTAGATCTTTTAAAATAATTTGAAATTTATTTAACAAACCTCCATCATCAGAACTATCCGGAATGTAAATGGGGAAACGAATCCATGTACTTGACTGTTCCCAGCCTAATGAATTATACAGTAGAATGAAAACACCATCATCAACGTCATTAGTGTTCACTGGTTGGTAGTTTTCGGTTGCATTACATAAACTAATGTTTAATAAATCACAAAATGTCAAGCCTGAATGAGATTTGAATTTCAGGTTGGGTAATAGTTTCATGTATGAATTTCCAATTAAATTTTGACATGAATTTGACCCAGTGTATAAACGTAAAGTATAGTCATTAGTTACATGTTGTTTAGCTGTACCAGTTACAGCATCATGATGTTGTAATATACCAAGAATTTTACGCAAATTATCAATTCGTTCTTCGTTATCATATTGATTAGTTTTATTCGTCAATTTGTTTGGAATACGGTTTGCAAATAAATGAATCTATTTTTGTAAAGATACGAAAATGTGAAAAGTAATGAATTAAAGTATGTTCTTGTCAATTATCTTACTGAACATTTGGCGAACAATATCTGCTAAGTGATAAATGAACTGTCAACACTACGTATGAAGCATGAATAATCAGTGACCATCTGAACTACGAATGTCTGTGAAGTTCTTTACATATACTCGAATCACAGTTCCTTATTCTTCAACGCTAACGGCACTGTGTCAAAGGCTTTAGCAAAGTCGAGAAATACTACGTGCACTGGTCCAAGCAGGATTTCCAACTGTCCTATGCGATGTGTTGCGCTTCATGGAGTATTTTATATATGCATATATGCATATATGCATATATATGCATTTTAATTTTATGAATTTGTTCGCCAATTAGCTCGCTGGCGTGCTTGACATTCTATGTGTGGTTGTGGTCTGCAGATCCATTTGTGATTTGCCAAAACATACGTAGTTAACATTTCGTTTTCGATATTTGATTTATAAACCGTTAGGCGCTATATAGTGGCGATTGTGTGGACGAGCAAATTACGAATTCTGAGAACACGTTGGATACTGACCGTCAAAAAACTGGTGATACATAGCCCAACATAAGCACAAATAACTAACAAAACTGATGAAAATTTCTTTCACAATATCAATCACGAGAATATCCTAACCATTTGAAATCGAATAATTTACGTGATTACAAATGTAGTAAGCTAGTAGCGATCATGTGTCACTGAACTATGACACATGTTAAATGATTGATTTTTTTATGAACCTGTTAGTCATCTAGGAAAATGTGGACGAATAGTTCGGACATGAACCCATACATTCATCAAGCTTGATAGTTCAATAAAGTCTTTCAAATCACTGCATACATAGGTTTATTCTAGTATACAGCTTGTGTTTCTTCTTACTGAAAGCAAATCTTGTAGACGAACACGCTTCGGAGTCTCATTAGCGCTGATGGTCTGGTGTGTAACGAAGTCTCAGTATTGATACAGAAGGCTTGATTGGTTTTTAACAACTTACATTATTTATGACTTAAGTGAGATATCTGTCTGCAGACAAAAGTAGAGGTGTACTGCCTGTTTGTCAGTTAGTTCCGTTGAGGATACTCGTAGGTTATTAGTATGCGATTATAGATTTCTTCGACGCATTGCTCGTGTTTCTCAGGAAAACGGAGTAGACAATACTGATGTTAGGATACGAGTACTAGGTATGCATTATCTCATCTCAATACAATGTTACTAAAAATGAATTTGATGTAACTACGTGGTCAGAAAACGAAGATACACGAGGCAAATTGTTTCACACTTTCTAGCAAAACTTGTTTCAGCTTAGTTCGAAACAAAGTCCTGATTCTTAAGAAAACAAAATGAGAACTACGTTTTACTTACGTGCTCACACATTGATAATAAGTTTGATGCTTGACGTACATAATACTTCAATGATGGTCGACTAGTATAATAACCTGTCCAGTATGTAAATTGGCCACTAGCATATGGAAAGAAGTCACCACTACGATGATTGATTGTACCTATACGATTAAATTCTTCATTTACTGCTTTTGTATAACATGCTGGTGTAGAATAGAGTAGATTGATTTTGCTACCATACTCTTGTGCTGCATTAACATATTTAATTAACTTATCCATATTATTGTAATTAATATGAGCGTTTTCATATGTAAAATCACAACCCATTAGAACCATTATATGGTTTGTCTTGAAAGACTTCGATAAATGATGAATGTATGTTTGGAATTTTTTAACAATACTATCAACATTATATTCTTGAATCAATGGATTATCTACAATTGTATTATATGGAAACTTACTGTCAAATTCAAAAGTAGGTGGATAACAATATGTATCATAAAACATTCCAGTAAATAAACCATACAATTTAGTGTTAGTTATTGTTTTCTCATATACATTAGTACTTTTCTCATTAGAAGTAGTATGCCATAGAATTTCCAATTCTTTCAGTTGTTTTCGTTTTTCTTTCTCACGATAATCCATACGTTGAAAGTAGACAGCATCGAAACCGGCGTCTTGAAATAAATCTGAATGATCACGTGCATGTCCAAATGGATCAATTTGCCAAGCAACTAATGGAAGTCCACATTCACCAAACAATTGTTTTAATAGATCACGTCCAAGTGTCAACTGGTCAATTGCATCAGTGTAATAGACTGTCGCTTCATCAGCCATACTCCAACCGCCGGAAGCGAATTGTAGTCGTCCTGTTTCGACTAAATCTTTGACTAAATGTTGTATTTCTTTCGACTGTACCATCCACCACTGGTAAAAATACACTATTTCAACGTAGGTAAAGCGACGTTTTGGATTATGCGCTAAAGCGGAAACAACACTGTCTAAGATGTATTGAACGCCAGCTTGTTGAATCGTGTTGTTCGTGCCGTAATAATATTGATCGACTGTTTTCAACCAGCCAACATCATCATGAGTATGCGGTACTAGATGAACATTAAGATATCCTGATTTTCCAGTTTCACATGACTCGTAACCACATTTAGAAGAGGAAAAATACTTTAACAAATCACTGAAACTAATACTATGACATTGATTTATGAAGAGTAATAATAGAAATTGTATGGTTACAAGTTTTGCTACGGTTGAGTGTGATGCAGCGAAATTCCACTTTAAAGACATCAGATTTATTTAGCAAACGTTGTCAAAAAGTAAGTGGTCTTTTGTAGTTGCAAATGTGAAAATCGTCTAATTTGAGCACTTTTAATGCATTTCTTTTAACCAGTGTACATATAACTCGGATATTATTGATTAATAGATTGAATAAGGGTGTGTGTGTGATTCACTTCTAGTAAATTATGTGAAATACAGATCGACAATTTTTCGAATTGTTGGTTAGTTCTACACTTTACATAAAAATCGCTTGCCTAGCAAAATAACCAATGACTGGTTTTCTTTCATTGGTCTACTAGATTATTAGGTTTTAATACGTAATGGCTATTCACGTTATCTATTTTCCGTTCACTACATTTCACGTCAATAGACTACACCGGCATAGCTTGATGATCCGCATGCCTCAATAACAACATCTGAAGATTCCTAACCAGTTGGAATAAAAATGTAAACAGCAAACCTGTTAAATAAGCTGACGCGTAGCTGAAATCAGTAGCAGAGTGGATAAAGTATGAAATTTTGTGAATGCAAACACAAGATACAAATTCACACATGATTGTTGCAACAGGAATGAAAGATTATCCAGTTCAAATGTAGACTATTCATTACAGTTTAGTCCGAGGTCCGATAACTATGTCCGAATTCATGAATGTGAACTGCTGAAGACTACGACACTAAGACGTAACGGCAGTGTGTGAATACTGCAGTCTGCATAAACTTTCATTTGTGTTAACTATTACGATCACACCTATCAGTTCTTGTTCGTTTAGAACAACTAAAATAAAATCAATATTTCACTGTATGAAACATGAATGACCATATATTTCTCTTAATTGTAAACATCAGTCTTTATATGAAATATGGATTGTTTAATCTCTGACAATTGTTTTCTGTCGTCAAACACAAACGTACCATTGAAATGCTTTACAAAATCATCATCATTGCAGAGTGTTTTAAATATTTTCTCTGATAATTTATTTCAAAAGGCTAGGCGATCGCATTTATTCATGTTCCGTTAGACGATTAGATACCGGAGTGGTAAACGTTGACTAGCCAACTGTTATGCATCACGCTTTACAGATCAGAGCATTATACTTATGTTTTCTGTGTACAATAAAACCTATAAATGCACATGGTTTTCCTGTTCATTTGCGAAATTCAGAGAGTACACGCAAATTCTTTCTCGTCTGATTTTATGTTAATATAGTCCAGTGTCTGCGATCAATTTGACGGCTTATCAGTCACATTGTTATATCTACAAGATACATTGAAACAAATAGCCTTATTAAATCTGAATTGTGAGAATTAACGATATGATATAAAAGTGTTTGTTTAGTAACCAAGCTAATTAAAATCACCATACATTGTCTGCATAGCTGTGACTGATTCTAATTGCTCTAAATATGAGTCAAATCATTCAGGTAACGTAGTTTGAATATACGATTTCGAGAAATGTTAAAGCTGTGCAATGAATGTTGATAGTTTAGTTAGACCTGAAATGATTAACAACTGTAGAAGAAATGTAAAACCAATTGCAGAGGCTACCTACCTTGAATAAGCAAAGATTGGTGACTCATTTATATTAATATTTATATTGGTATCGACATTTTCAAGCAGTTTTAATTCGTCCAAGTAATTAGAACATTTGTTTTGTTAATGATGTCTCACTAGACAAATTTTAACCAAAACTCGTAACTCTTTTATTCTCGCTGATATTCTATGGAATCACTGATAAAGTGAAAAACCCAGTTTTCGACACACATCAGTTTGAAATTTTCGACAAATTTGAACAGTGGATTTGAGCAAAATGTTTTGAAGTCCCTTCTAGACTGAAAGAGTCGTATGTTTCTTGTGAGTAAATAATAAAAGTTCAACATTGAACGATTCAAAATCTGAATGTAATTCACCCATGTTTTCAATACTATACTGACATTAAGTGGTCGCGGTGCAACTGTATGTATAGTATTCGGCAAACAGTCAAGATTTGGATCAACAACAAGCATCGGTCATCATTCATTGATCGATCGGCTGCAACCATGTCCATCCTGCAGCCGAACAATCTTCACGTGATTACCTCACTTCCCGCATCTGGAACTGTGAAGTTGACTAAATCAGGCCTGCATCATCATTTTCAACAAACTGCAGGTAATCGCCTTCACTGACGATATGATTCTTCATTAATTTATCATGTGTTGTAGATAATTCTTACGCTTCTGTTTTATTACGGATTGAAATCGTCAGTAACTTCAGACAATGTGCAAATCGAGTTCAGTGATAATACTACCTGACAGTTCTTCTTTCATTTATTCTTAGTCACTTTTTCCTTTCGAAAATTTCAATAAACTTCATAACGAAATTATGGTTTCTAATAAGCCTCCATATTTCATACAGTTCATGCAATCAATTACTTTAGTCTTGTCGAACAGCTGACACTGAGTGGTGAATTTCATTCAGTTGAGTGTTCCAGCATTCAGGAGTTATTCGTATACCGAATATCTCATTCAGTTCGATAACACTGTGGCTCTTGTTTTGAAGTAAGTTTGATGTCTAGGTTGCACTGAAACTCTTTGAGATCTTCTTTCTTTGATATGGTAATGAGGTGTTCTTATGTATTCCAGTCTGTTGGTACTTTTTCTAGCAACTTTTCACGCTATGACTGATAGAATTTTAACATATTAAGTTGGTGGGTTTCGATGCATCGTCCTCGAGATTTCCGAAAGCGGTCCGTTCTGATTATGAGATTCTACATCTAAACGAAGATCTACCAACTTCAAAAACAGATTTGCCTAAACTACTTATCAGTTTCATTCAAAGTAAATTATTTCAATTTCAATTGTGTGTACACTCAATCCTTGGATATTGTCGGTTGATACTAATTGTCCTACAGTTAAGCAACATATAAAACAATCAAATGGATGCATGGATAGACGTAATACGACACGATACTTTGCAGAATGTGAAGCGATCACTTAGATATTGAATAAATGAGTGAAATCTGTATTGAATGCCGCAATGAGCTGGAATTGATCCTATTGCTTTCTCAGTCAAATGATGAGTCTCTACAGGTTCCTGATGTCACCAATCAGAACTAGGTGTAAATTGCATCAAATCGATCAGTATATCGGTCCTTTTGATGTGATGTTCGCTAACCAATCTTTTTACGTTTATTTTGCATCAAACTTCATTGATCAATAACCGGTTTACTCTGGTGCAATAAAACTGGAAGAACTGAACTGATTTTCTCAGAGAGAATGTGCCACACATTGGTGTTTTATTTATGTGCGTTTCTCTTGATCATCCTTACGACATTGCAGCATGGTGTGTAGTAAATATTGACCAACGTGCTCTGAGAATATCTATGATGATACTTGCACTTACCAATTTGATATAAGAAAATGCATATGAATAACAGTAATTGTGGTATATTATCATGTAGCTAGGTGAAAACAGACTTACGTGAATGTTGCTGTAAAATATGATTTCGATGATGCCGAATGCTCTTTGTTCATTTGATGCTATTTTTCGGTGAATGGATATTTTAAGGACACATCACTCGTTTGCATATCGAACAGATATTAAAGGGTATATATTTGTAAAAGGTAATTATCTTTTCATTCAAAATCTAGTAAATACAACAGAGTTAATAACGGAAGTGAGAACCGCTGAAAATACTTTAAGAAACCTAATAGGTAACTTTAGTTTTCAGTAGAATGTTCGTAATGCAAACGTGAACTGACTACTACTACTACTAAATACTGTTTGAACAGATACTGCACGCCTGTAAAGTAAGAGATAGTTGTCTACCATGTTATCATGGTATTGAACTGTTTCGAATATGCTTTGAAACTATATTTGAATGCTTCCGGCTAAGCGCATATGTGTTTATGTCAAATAAATATTTGCCAGAAACCCGTTTTACATTTGACTACACATGCGATCGATTCCTTTTTACGTATATGCATGAAAAATAGGTTTATTCAATCGAAAACGGAGTTGTCTGTGATTTAAACTATTTGGACTACATGTGAACAACACTATTGGTCGCATCTTCGAAATAAAACATTCCTTTCTTTTATAGCTCCACAAATAGGAATGTCCGGAGAGTAGAAACGTATTTACAAGTAGCCTTGCCTGATCTGAGCATCCGAATCGTGGGTCAGTGTGATATTCACAAGCATTCGACTCTGGTAAATCGCAGTCATCATTATTTGGCATGTAAATTGTGGTTAGCAATGCTAACTAATATCAAATGTTAGTGCAACTCTAGTGTCGACAGTTCTCAGTAGAGTGGAAAATTGGAGCGATTTTTGAAAGAATAGACACCATTGAAATTCGTAAAGCTTACAAGGAAACATTTATTGGAATACCTGCGTGTTCAAATGCTATATAGTCGAGTTGATATTCAAATTAATAAATCAGCAACTGCTTCTCCTAATTGATAAATAATTAGACCGAAGAGTACAATAAATAACTTTGGCAATATGGAGTAATACGATCTGAATGACTGTCACATTCTATTAGTTTGAATGCGTTGGCACTAATATTTTGCTCAATAATTCCAACTGATTTTCGGCTTCTCCTTCAATCCTCTCGGATTTGTTAAGACATTTAAATGATTGAACAGAGTTTTCGAAGGTGGGATTCATGCCTTCAAAATAGAAACCAAACATATTAAGTTAAGTTTCCAGAGTTTGATTATAAACAGACGCGTCAATTTTTTCGTCTGTAAAAGTATATGAGGAACGTTTAGAAAGTAAATCACAACATACTCATAAAATAGCAAGTAAGCTGTACGTAAATCAGTGAGAAAATCAGTGTGGAAGTTGACGCGATATTTGTAATAGATAGATGCCAACAACTACCACATTGTGTTATTGAATTATGATTCTAATCATATAAAACTGGAGTGAAGAAATATCCATCGATAGTGATTTGGCTTCAGAACGCAAGGTGAAGAATATAGAGGATCTGAAAAAGGCTAAGCGAAGGCATTTATTCACGTTTCGTGAGACAATTAGATACCGGAGTGGTAAACGTTGACTAGCCAACTGTTATACATCACGCTTTACAGATCAGAGCATTAAACTGATGTTGTCAGTGTACAATAAACCCTATAAATGCACATGGTTTTCCTGCTAATTTGCGGAATTCACAGAGTACACGCAAATTCTTTCTCGTCTGATTTTATGTTAGCATAGTCTGGTGGCTGTGATCAATTTGATGGCTTATCAGTCACATTTTTGTA